ATTTAAGGCTGCAAAGCAACAAAATGTGACTATTTAAAAGGGGGTGATTTTTTTCAATGCCCACTGTAGCTGTACAACTCTTAACCTAATGCCTACCCCTCAACCTCAAATGTAAGCTAACATTTAAATTTTTATTGTATACCCTAATGTTTACTTGAAGTAGAAGTAAACCTTGAAAAAAAAAATGTTGGGTTAAGCGTTTTTCATCAAGCAATCTTTTTCCTTTGTGTTTACGGCCTACAGTACCTGCACCCTGCAGTTTCTACTCCCAGCATCTTACAGATAATGGAGCCATGTGGTAGGATAATGTAAATCTAGAGCTTATGTACAGGAGTTTTGTTGTCAGTCACTACCAATCGTGGGAGAGGAAGGATGCCTGCCCAAAAGAACTAGTGGAGAATATGGTGGAAGTGATGACCGTGAGCATTGATCTGGTAATGTCAGAAGAGAGCAGCCTAGGAGGTCTGACATAATGTGTGAACGCCATAAAGACAAAGGCTCTCCCTGCAGCTTAGTTCCACTTTAACCTCTAAATGACCAACTGGGTGCTTCAAGTGTTGGTCCTGATGGATACCAATTCTGCAACAGAAAATCCCTGATTCTCCAGTATAGATGGAGGGAGAGGAAGGCAGTGTCTTTGCTTCCCACATCCTAACAGAATTCCTGCTACAGAATCAGAGGTCCTGAAACAGAGACATTAAGAACAGGTGCGTCTTGTGATGCTCTGCTTTCTGATAAAGAGCAGAGCATCACACGCCTGGGTAAAAAGTGGTAGTGAACAGTTGCATTTGTTTTTCAGTGAAAGTACATACGGTAGTATGCTGTGTGTAAGCCACCCTTCCTGTAACAAAGTGCTCAAGAGCTGCTGATGCTACAAACGTCACGTAGATGCAGCATACATATATACAGAAAGTCTACAACTCTACTGGTTGAGGCGTTTTAGCGATTTAAAGAAAAAAAATCTTGGCCCTCCAGCATCTCACTGGTTAACAAAATAGATTTGGAAGGAAAAAAAAATACGTTCAAACTCCCCAAGGAAAGAGGTGGGATAAAACCCCAAAACACCTGCCAGCGGTGATATTAATTCACCGGAGGAAATAAGTCCATCGCTGGATGCATTATGAGCTGGAGATATTAATCTGCCTGCTGCAGATTGAAAAATGCAAATCGGACTCATCCACAGGTGCGCGTAGGCACGATTTACAGTTGTTCCTCACTGCGAAAATAACCCGTGTCACATTTAATAGTGCCACATAAAATGTAAACGCCAACAAAATGAATATTCTGGCTGCATAACGAGTGCTGGTATTCTGTATGCTAACAAGCGTTTACAGCGCCCCGGCTATTGTGCTGCGCAAGTAAATTGATTTTGTTGGAAACATACACAGTAGTTTGGATGTCGGCAGTGTTTTGCGGGGGCGACTGCGTGAGAGAGGAGGCTTAAAGGGCTAGTTATCCAAAATTATTATTTGCTTCATGTAAAAGAGTTAAATGTTAACTATAGTCTTATCTGTATTTTTAGCTTTAGATATAAATGTGTGTAAAAAAAAAATTTCTCTATGTAATTTGTATATATACACATGTCCTTGGGGGGGACGGGGGGACAGCCATATTTGCTCATTACATATGAAGGCTGTGCTTCCTGCTTAGTAGTGCTAAACATTGACTGTTCGCCAGCACGCACACTCCCGCTCCTCACAAGACCTCCTTCTCTCTAGTTCCCTGGTCTCCTCCTCCCATGCCCGCCTCCAGGACTTCTCCAGGGTGTCACCCATCCTCTGGAACTCCCTGCCCCAACCCATCAGATTATCACCTACTCTCCTCTCCTTTAGGCACACCCTGAAAACCCATCTCTTCAGGGAAGCCTACCCCACCCCCTGCTAACTTGCGACCTCCTCCACTCTTCCTACCACTCCATCCCCCACAGCTATCTCCTCCTGTGCCACCATCCCCTCCCTCCTAGATTGTAAGCTCGAAAGAGCAGGGCCCTCGATCCCCTCATGTTTTGCATTGTATTGTTACTGTTCTGTCACATGTTCTGTCCCCCTTTGTAATGTACAGCGCTGAGCGAACCATTGGCGCTTTATAAATACTGTATAATAATAATAATACCTAATAGTCACATCAGACCTGACTCAAAGCAATGGATTTACTACAGACTTAAAAGATGGGAAAGATTCACAATGCTCCCATTATCCTGAGTTCTTTTAATCTATACATGGGGGAGCTCGGCAGGCACAATTTTTTCATCCATAGAAATTTTTCATTAAAAAAGAAATGCGTGATTTCGTGAGGCTGCCATGTGCCCTACTAAGATATGAATTTTAGTGACAGGTCCACTTTAATGACATTCATTAATAAATATGAAACTTTAAGGAATGTACCAAACGCTGATACATTTAGTACTGAAAAGTACTGTAACTGTACTGTCCCTATCCATTGTTGTAAAAGCCTGGGCAAACTGATGGCGTTATTAAATCTTTAATAATATAAATAATAATAAATGCTGTAAGCCTCATTTAGGCTAAAATGGCAGCTAACATAAATAAGCTGAACAGCAGACTTAAATAAATCTGACATTTTTGGAACAGAGATACTTGTGAATGTCAGTGCTTATGTAAAATTTTTACATTTTAGATTTAAATAACCATTAACCCTAGGTCCACATGACTGCAGGTGGTGCCGCTGCGGATCCGCACGAAAATCCGTGCAGCTGAACCAACTGCACAGAGAATTGTGGACCTGTGGGCGGGTGCCATTACTTCTAATGGCATACCGCCCGCATTAGAAAACGCAACCGTAATGGGAACCAAGGTTCCCGTGTGGGCTGCATTTTCCAAAGAAGTGCACGGACTTTTCTCTGCGTGTCACGGGCACGGGACTTTATTCAAATTAATGGACTATTGTGCCCGTGCAAGACGTGGCCTGCACGGCCGCATGGATGTGAACCGGGGGTTAGCCTGAATATAAACTTCTTATTTCCCCCAAAAAGCATCTCACATGATGTCATGTATACAAGGGGTTCATTTCAGACCAGAACACAGAAAACAGAAGTTTCCTCACTTGCATCACAGTGAAATCCAAGTGGTCTGTTCAGGTAAGCACTGCAAATTGCAAGAACAACATGAAAAGTGCACTGACTCAGAGCAAGCAGTCCAAGTCACCTTTTCACTGACCAATAAACCCAAGTCTGATTGGAAGCCACAGGTCACTGCACTGCTGTCCAGGATAAAATGGATGGATGTTCATGTGTTATAATTGAGGTATGTGTCGGAATGCGTTTAGCACAATGTTGGATGGGGGCTTCCCATCAAAGCTCTGTGCAGGTCTGTTTCTGTTGCTCTGCACCTGATCCTTGAGTTTATACCCATCCTACCCAAAACCCGATCCTTGAGTTTATACCCATCCTACCCATAACCCAATCCTTGAGTTTATACCCATCCTACCCAAAACCCGATCCTTGAGTTTATACCCATCCTACCCATAACCCAATCCTTGAGTTTATAACCATCCTACCCAAAACCCAAGTTTACAATGCCAAGTTAAGAGAATGCTTCTACATTACAAGTGCCTATCAGTCTCTTGCAACACAGTGGCAGCCATTACTTGCACAGTCTCATGGTACACAGGAAAAGTCTTTTACTAGATCTTGTGACACAGGGGCAGTCTGTGGTATAATACCTTGATGACATTTTTGGCAAGGAGGCAATCTTTACGAAGACAATATAATGCAGCTCCAGAATTTGCTATGACAGCCTTTTTTAAGGCAGTGGATGTTTTAGGTAAGATGGCCCCTTGTAAGGAAGAGACCTTCTTTATTAAAACAGTCTCTTTTAAGGTAGAGCCAGACTTTGTTATGTCATGTTACAGACTCCAGTTACAGACTGGAGAAAAATCTAGCAAACTGTTGCTTCCTTCTGCTAGTTTCCAGGCCATCCTGCTGATCCCTTGGCTTCAGTGATTTTTTTAGTTACTGGGTGGAATAAATGTGCATTCAATTTCACCAACATCATACTGCTGACTGAAGCAATGAAACCAGACACAGACAACTAGCTTTTCCTGAGGGAGACCAGCAGCTTCAATAGTTTACTGCCCCATCCATTCAGCAAATCTGCAGCATCCCACCGATTGGCAGGCCACTAAATTCACATGAAGCCACAACAGCATCCAGGGAGGTTTAAATGAATCAACACAAGAGCCCAGCAGATCAGAAAGCAGATCAATAGGATTCACGTACCTGCAGAGTTGCAGTTATTTGGTTCTTTCTCTGACAGCTGTATAAATATGGGGTCTAAGTATTCCAAGGTCGTTCACAGCCCTCACCCAAGCAGGAAAATAGCTCATCATATGGAAGAATCATAGGATTCACTCATAGCACATTAAGACTTTCCCTGGATTTTCGTAAACTGACTTCCTAGTAGCAACCAATCACATTTATCCTGCACTAGAAAGTAACAGTGGGAAAGTAAAAGACTTAGGTGTCCGTTTGTGAACCAGCGGTAATAGATCGCTGCTCAGTTCTCCGGCATTCTCGGAGAACACAGTTCTCCTGTGAATGCAGTTTATGAAGCAGTTCTCCGAACGAAGGGAGAACGGTCTCCAAACGCTGGATAACGGTCTACAAACTCTGAAAAACGGCTCATTTTACTATAATCTCTCGAGATTACAGTAAAAGATCAGTTTACTAAGCAGAGGTAAATTATCTCTGCTTAGTTTTCGGTCCCTCTGATTCTCCAGCTCTGAGCTGGAGAATCTGGAGGGAGAACACAGATCTCCAGAGAAGGGCTGACATGTTCTCCTGAGTGTCATAAACTGTGAATGACCAGAGAATAGCTGAGATCTGTTGAATCGCAGCTATTCTCTGTGTCATAAACGGACACCTGAATCAGAATGGCTACCATAGATTGTCTATAGTATTATACCTTTCTAATAAGTTCATACCTTAACTGCTGTCCCTAGAGAACAAAAAAGGCATGGCTGGTTGAACAAATTGTATTTACCTGCAACCAGTTCCAGCTTCTCCCCTGGGTCACCTTCCGAGTAGAGCTTCGGGTGGCAGCGGTAGCCAATCTGACTAATGAGGCTCGCTGGAAGTGCCACCAGGTCTCTCCGAATCAGGACACAAGAACGATTCTCCAGTGAGTTCTGTATTTGATCTCCTTTCTCCTGACCAACTAGTGAACAAAAAAGGAAACCATAAACATTAGTAAAAAAAAACACATGGTCATATTTCAGAGAACCACAACCCTCAGCACTACTGGAGGACTCTGTTTCTTAGGTTACCCAACTTTCTTTTCTTTCTCACTTTTCTTCTGCAAGATGATTGCTCCTTCCATAATCTAAATGTCCTCTGTGGATACTCTGTGCTGATGGAGGACTCCACCATTGTGCCAACTTTGCTCTCTCAAAATACTCTGTGCTGCTGGAGGACTCCACTATTGACTCCTGAAATAGTACTCGTTGTTGGAACACTCTGCTCCTATCTATCTCTGCTGGCCTGAAATACTCTGCACTGCGTTCATTTTGCCATCTAAAGCTGGCCATTTTATTCAGCCAGTTGGATGAACAAAACTACAATGAAAAATGAACAGATTCCTCCATCCACACAAGTGAGGTGGATGAAGGAATCTCCGCTGTTCAAATAAACTGATCAGTGGCTGCAGCCGCTGATCAACCAACGTTTTTCAACATTCTCGTTCATGAAAATCAGACCTAACAATTTACTTTTTTTTGAACCGGGACACCCACACATGGATCAAAATTTGGCTGGACCTTGCTGAATTGGCAGAATTTCGATCCATCTATGGCCAGCTTTATGCTCCTTTCCTGAGAATACTACTGGTATAGGACTCTGTTCCTTCCCTGATCCAACTTTCCTCTCTTGAAACACTATGCTGGTGATGTATTCTGCTCCTTCTGCTAACATGTTAACATTTTTGTCTTTTGCACTTCACATATTGCCATATACTTCCAAACTGAACCCTCTTTATCCAGTCCCTCCACTTACTACAAATAAGTAAAACCTATATGTAGATATAGAAATGTCATTCTTTAGTTCGTGTAGGGACTGGCCAGGGAGGGATTACTTTAAAAGCAGCTTTCCAGCTTGAATATCATAATATGTACTTCACATACACACACAAACCATCTGGAAATAAACAAGTGCTCATCACAGCGTTGGCGAGAGATGTGACTACATTCTGATACAATATATTGCAGTGTCTGTATCAACAGATATTAATTATGTCGGATCTGCCTGACAGAACAAAGGAGGTCCGCACCGCCAGACAGACAGCCACAAAATCTGCCATGGTGGCATCCTTGCAACAAGTACCAGACCTTCCCGGAGTGGCATGGGCACAGGCTACTCCAAACAGATCTGTCATTGTTTAGGACAGGACTAGATGTTGCCCAGACAGAACGGAGGCGCCCACTACCTACAGCAACAGACACTCCATTCTGCCAACCACAGGCAAAGTATGGAACAAGCAGTGACACCACTGCACCTTATTACAGGGTTATATAAAAGAGCTTTTGATAACACTAAAAAAATGCAAATGTTGTGAGATTAAAGGATTACTCCGCTCAAAACAACACTAGCAGTGTTTGGTGGATGCTTTTCACGTTTCTCAGGTGGGGAGTTCCAAGTCTACATACCTGCCACTGCCATTAGGCTACTCCCTTTCTCCCCTGCTGGATTTTTTATTGCTAACATTGTGGAGAAGGAGCAGAAACACTCCAAGGCAGGCGGGAACATAGCTGAGATATACCAGCAGGCGACTGAGCCCACCAGACCCATTTACAACTAAAAATAACTGAAATTGCATTCTTGGGTAGACGTAGCCACCTTTCATTGCAAAGAAATATCGTTTACTATGATAGGTTTGGTTGGCTGTTATACTGGAGGCGTTATTTAAGGAGAGACGCAGTCTGGAAAGAGTTAACACTGGCTGCGTATCGGGGATTTTGGACAGGTTACACAGTGTTCCACTAAATGCCAGCTCCTCCCAGATTTGTATTCCTATAAATTCCCGGGGAGCAGAACAGCTTCTTGTGGCCTTTAGAACCGGCTTGCTCTGTCCTTTTTTAGAGCTTTGCCTTGTCACAAGTTGTGAAGTTTATAAATACTCGTATTTCACCGGCACCTCGAGTCTCGCAGAACATCTGCCAGTGTGCCTGTGCGATTAAACATTCACCCCTTGTCAGCCAGAGTGGCCACAAAACTCACTAAGGTTATATTAGGATACGCTGGGTGCTCATTCTAACACCTTCCTCTTGTGTCATGGACCAGCAATCAGTAAAGAAGAACTCCACTGAGTGATGCTGGGACACAGAATGGCGACAGGATAAAATGGCTCTAATAATGTAGAAAATCTGAAATATTATTTTGTATGCCAACTTACTTTCTAAAACATTTTGTGTCTGTAAAGGATATTCATAGTATTTTGTTAAAAGTTAGAACTCCCTTCAAAACAGTTTTGGACAGATTTAGAATATCTGTTGGGTTTTGATTATTGCCATTGTTAGTGTTAGAAAGATTCACCTTCATTTCCTGTCTTAATGACCCAAGAGAAAGGGAGAAGAACTCTCCCACTTCTCACTGGAGGTAAGGGGACTTAGCAAATACGAACCTGGCAGATAGAGAATATCATTATTAATTAATATTCTTTCACCCCCGTAGGCAGAGGAGCATAGCCAGGAGGAGTTCAGGATGAAGCTGTATCTTTATCTCTCTATATAGTGGCTGGGTTCCAGAGTGCAGTGTTGCCACCTTCTGTCTTTCTATCAGTTTCCTGGATGAGCTTGTTTGGAGTGTCTATACATATAAGGTGCAGCACTAAAATAACATAAATAAAAACAGCATATTATAGCATAAAATAAAGTGCAAATATCAGATCACACTGAGGTGAACTTGAGTGAATAAAGAGTCCCAAGATAAATGAGGGCCCAATGTGGGGATCCAGTAGATCCTAATGAGTGCGTGGGGCAGAGTTCCAGTGTACCACACGGTGAATCTAGGGTAAAAAATGCACACTCACCAGAAGTACGTCAAAAATACGCATGTGAAATTTATCCTGTTACATCAGGTAGCGGTCATCTACTGCCAAGGTAAGGTCAGGGTCATACACCTTCCAATCGCAACTCAGGGTAGGTACTCCAAAACGTGTCTCAAACGTCACATAGCGTGATACCGTATACACTGAGTTTATTATATCAGAAGGTAACACAACATTGAATGGTAGGGATAAAATGAAAGTAGTGTTACCTTCTGATATAATAAACTCAGTGTATACGGTATCACGCTATGTGGTGTCCCTTATTGGGCTCTCTTCAATGAGAGTCCCCACTTGCAGAACCTGTTCAAAAAGGGACCCCAGATGGTGACACGTTTGAGACACGTTTTGGAGTACCTACCCTGAGTTGCGATTGGAAGGTGTATGACCCTGACCTTACTTTGGCAGTAGATGACCGCTACCTGATGTAACAGGATAAATTTCACATGCGTATTTTTGATGCACTTCTGGTGAGTGCGCATCTTTTACCCTAGATTCACCATGTGGTACACTGGAACTCTGCCCCACGCACTCATTAGGATCTACCGGATCCCCACGTTGGGCCCTCATTTATCTTGGGACTCTTTATTCACTCAAATTCACCTCAGTGTGCTCTGATATTTGCACTTTATTTTATGCTACAATATGCTATTTTTATTTATGTTATTTTAGCGCTGCACCTTATATGTATGTACTCTGTTGGAAGGTTCATTCTTGGTTACCTTTTTGGTGTTCTAGCTGCTATCTTTTATTAAGTTTTGGATAGCGCTCGCATACTACCTCTTTATTATTGTTTGGAGTGTCGGCACCCAATCTATGCATTAGACTACAGGAGGAGGTTTTGCAGTGCTTTGAGTGGCAATCCAAGTATTCATATATGGGCTATGCTTTACGGTTTCTCTCAATTCAAGTCTAAGGCAGGCCATAGATGATGCAATCTTCTTTCCTTCAATCTGCAACAATGACTGTATTCATGAATGAATCCCTCTTGTGGATGTATTGTATTCTGCTAGTAAAAATCTGACATGCTGTTTGTACCCAAATCAATCGAAGCAAAAACTTGGGTACACTCAGTCTACCCATAGATGGTTTGAATGTTGGCTGGTCCCTACTGAACTGGCCGAGATTTGAACTATCTATGGCCAACTTAACAGTCAGCTCAGACTGATGGAAAATAAGAGAGTCTTGATATCTTGCTTAGTCACTACCCCATTATGCTCTTGTGTTGCAATGCCAAAAGTGTAAGCCATCCCTAGGGGGTGATGAGGATGAATTCCAAACATGGGAAGCACTCACCACATAATATTATTTTCTCCCTCATAGAGGGTGTTTTCATGAAGGTAGAGAGAAGGTCAGGAGCATATTTCCTACCTTATGGAGGGTCATGTTGAAGGATTTGATATCCCAATATAATTAAAAAAGTGGAGAAAATATCAGGAAAAGGGAACTTCCTATCTTATGAAGGGTCATGTTAGGGAATGTGATATCCCAGTTGTCAATGTATTCAGAAAGGTAGAAGGAGTGCCAGGAGGAGAGCATTTTCTACTTTATGGAGGGTCATGTTGGAGGATGTGACATCTCAGTACTGAATGTAAACAGGAAGGTAGAGAGAGGGCAAGAGCAGAGTATTTTCTACCTTATGGGGGGATTCATATTGGAGGGTGTAATAACCAGATAATGAGTGTAATCAGAAAGGTAAAAGAAAGATCAGGAGGAGAATATGTTCTACCTTATGGAGAGTGTCATATCCTGGAGGTAGGTTTAATCAAAAAGATAGAGAAAAGGTCAGGGGCAGTGTATTTTCTACCTTATGGTAGTTCCTTTTGGAGGGCATGACATCCTGGTGGTAAGTGTAATCAGAAAGGTAGAGAAGATCAGGAACTACCTTACGGTGACCTTCTATGTTGGAGGGTGTAATATCCTAATGGTAAGTGTAATCAGAAGATCAGGAGGAGAGTATTTTCTACCTTTCAGAGGGTCACGTGTGTCCACTGTGCCTTTACAGAGTGGTGGGCCCACCATGCGAACTTGCCCTCAATCTATCCATTGCTATATGTGCTCCTATTAAGGAGATTAAAAAAATTAATAGAGTTAGAACTGCAGTAGACAGAGGAGCCTTGACATGGGCACTGAAGCTTACGCATACATTTGCAGGTGTGTGCAAACAAAAACCTCTGTTTTAACGTGACTTGTTAGACAGGATCAATTTGGTTGTTTTGCATTTGCTGGTAAGTGTGCTGGGAAATCTTTTGTTTGTTTGTGCCATACATTGCCCTTCAATGTGCAATTTACTGCAAAGGCTAGGTAAAGGTTGGGGAGGTTGCCACTTTTTTGTACAGAGTCATGTTGGAGGATGTGATATCTCAGAGGTAAATGTAATCAGAAAAGAAGAGAAGGGCAAGAGCTGAGTATTTTCTACCTTATGGGGGGCCATGTTTGAGTATGATATCCTGGTGGGGAGTGTAATCAGAAAGGTAAAGACAAGATTGGGAGAAGAGTAATATCTTCCCTATAGAGGTTGATGGTGGATGGTGTGATATCCTAATGTTTAATGTATTCAGAACAGTAGAAAGAAGGTAAGGAGCAGAGTATTCCCTATCCTTAAAGAGGGTCTAAAGCAGTGTTTCTCAACCTTCAGTCGATGCACCCTTTAAAACTATGCACAATCTCGAGGCACCCAATTCTAAAATGTAAAAAGCTAACTAGTAATTTTACATAATTCAGCAGTCTCTATACATGTAGGATACCCAACATTAGGAGGGGATTTTTAAAATGCAACATACCTTTGCTCACTGGTACTGACTACTATTTGAGCATTTCTCTTTTTGTTTCTCGTTTCTCTCTCCCTCATTGAGCTAATGTGACCCCAGTGCTGACGGAGAGGGGCATGGGAGAAGCAAATAAGGATGTCCTCAGGCACCTGCCATCCTCCTTATCAACCTATGATGGCATTGGTTGTTAGGAAGCTGGCCAGCACAGTACCCAAGGTTGTAATGTTGTACAATACAGTCTGTTGCTTTGTGTAACAAAACCAAAAAAAAGGCAGGCTTGCTCCAAGTGCTGGCTTGTTGACAATTTTTGGGCAATTTGACACAATTGTTAGGCATCTTGCCAATGCAGTCCTGAAGAACCCAGAAGGCACCCTGGTTTGAAATGGCTGGTCTACAAAAGATGCTTTAGAAAAGAATGCTCTTGGAAGCTTTGTAGGCTAATAGTGGTAGTGTTGCTGCAACTGGAGAGCTAAAGGCTTACCCTTAAAAACACCCACAAAGCACAGAATATAATCTAAAAAACAGTTATAGATCAACAAAAGGTTATAGAACACGGCAGCGCTCTGTAGCCATAAAGTGTTGGCGCTGTCTAGACATGTGCTGTTGCTTAATACTGTGGTGTAGAGGTCACAGCAAACCGAATCAAGAGAGGAGGGAGAGCTCAGCTTGTACTGTCTCCCCAGTATACAGAGATTAAATATTCCTTTGCCAGGTATTGCAGCAAACATTGGCAGAATTACTGGCAAAGCCAAACACTCACTTCCTGTCCCTTTCCCGGTATATTTACCAACAACCGCTGCTTGGCAATTTGGCTAACGGCTCCGTTACTAACAAAAGAAAATTTGCTAACACAGTACTGCTAGGACACTAATGCCTAACAATGAGGTTTTGTTCCACAATGACACATATGTACACATACTTTGGGATAGGCTACTAATGGTAGCACTTAATATTTACTATGAAAATGTGGATAAAAAGTCTGCCAAATAGTTACATGGTGTATATAATCTGTACTTATTCTAAGTGTATGGACTCTGCACAATGCCACTTCTCTTGTTCTATATGCTGGGTGTAATTCTCAGTATCTGTTCCTACTCTGCATGTATGGATTCTGTACAGTACCACTTCTCTGGTTCTGCATGTTGGGTATAATATTCAGTATGTATGGACACTGCAAAGTAGCACTTCTCTTGTTCAGTATGCTAGGTATTATTCTCAGTATCTAATCCTAGTCTGCATGTATGAGCGCTGTCCAGTTCCACTTCTCTTGTTGGGTATGTAGGCTATTATTCTCAATATCTGATTTTTTGTTTATATTTGAACGCTGCACAGTACCACTCTTCTTGATATAATTCTTTATCTGATAACCAAAGTCATCTGAAGGCGGAGGGCCACTTTATCCAGCACCATAACTCCCTTCCCATGACTGTTCTTATCCTGTTGTGCATTAGTGTGGAATTAGTGTCATCTAGCTTACACCTTTAAGGGTGAGAACATCTGTTTAATGCAAGTAAAAAAAAATTGCATTATCATAGGAAGGAAATGAGAGTCCAGCTAATCCCAGAGCAAGGGACAACTAATCAGCATGCAATGTACCAGCACTGCGGGCAAGAGGAACACGCCCGGCATTAACCCTGTGTATGTATCTGGTAACTCCAGCGTACAAGTAGAGCCATGACCAGCCTGCAGGCTTACCCACAATACAGGCAGCTGAATTTATACATATGTAAAATATGCCTAAATATATTACAAATATAATTAATACAACTATATATATATATATATATATTCTAATTAGTGTGGGAAATCTAACTTTTAGCGGATAGACAGAAAGACAGAATAAAAAAAAGTAAATGACTGCAGGAAATCTACCTTTGTGGGAAAGGCAGAGACAATTTGTTGGGGGGGTGTTGGGGGTGTGGAGACACAAATAACTGTGGGTAAAACTCCTGCTTGTGTTAGGGGCAGAGCCAAACTACTGCAGAGAGAATCTCCCATTATAGCAGTCACACTTTTACACTGTCCTACAGACTCTAGCTGCATGGAAAAGCAGAGGATGGGATGGTGTGAAGCATGGGGGGGTTGGGTGGATGGCATGGGAAGCAGTGCACAAGAGGCAAACTTCAGCCCTATTTATATATAGATCATTGAGAAAAGGAAAAAAAAAAAATTGTTCTACACAGTGTCACTAGTGATAAACCTGTGCGGTTTGCATAGCCAAGCTTACTGTGATAGGAAAGACAGGTACCGTTAAAGGGACACTATCATTTTTTTGTCAATTGTTTTAACATCTTACATGTTTAAACGGCTGTGGTATATATCCGTTTTTGTACCCTTTATATAACATCTTTACAAATTAATATTTCATATGAGGTGTGCACAAACTACCCTGGCTCCTTCAGTTGCATGTTAATGCTATTGAGCTCTGTCAACAGGCCTTTTCAGCAAAGCAGGTCAGACTAGTCTTGAATTCAGATTTTAAACAAAAGGAACCTAAAGCTCTATCTGCTTACTGGAAATTAAAATACAACGTATTTATAGACAATATTTCAACTTTAACCAAGCAAAAAAAAACGTTTGTATCTTCCCACAGAAAAAAATATCAACAAAACCACAATTGCTGTAAGAGCTTTTTTTTTCTTCTTTCTTTTTTTAGGCGAGATCAAGCCTCACATATTTCATCTGCAGATACCTAAACCACCAATATCAAAACATAACCAAATAAATAAAAGCTACAAAATAAACCTTTATTTATTCATTTATTAAACACGATACAGAAGCCCCAGGAGATCCCAACGCTTTAATGGCCTTTGTGTACAGCCTTAGATTGTATTTTACTAAATGACTCTGAAAATGAAGCAAGCTTTGAATGAACAAGCTGCATGTAAAGTGAACTCCAGTGACACACCCCTCTCAACACGGAATAATGTGACATTGTCTCATTGCCAGAGGGCAGCATAACAGGATGTAAGCAAAAATGTGAGACATAGGGAGAGCTGTATAGGAATGGATGAAACATATATTGAAGGCAGAAACTCACATCTGACTGTAATGTTGTCAGGATTCTACAGAATGTTTCTGTTTTTACTTTCCTGCAGGGTCACATTGAGTAAAAAGTAAAATAAAAAACAACAAAACAGAAAGTTATTGTCGGCCATTCTAATACCCAACAGTTGATTTACTAAACACAAACAGAATGTGCACTTTGCAAGTACAGATGCTCCAGACTTTAGTAAATGAGGTGAAGCTTCACTTTACAAAGATTACCCAATCACATGCAAGGAAAACAAAAAAAGCATTTCACTTGGACATGATTGGATGATGGAAGTCAGCAGAGCTTCCCATCATTTACTAAGCTCAGGAGCAGCTGCACTTGCAAAGTGCACAGTCTAATTGACTGTAGTAAATAAACCCCAATGTGTTCTATGAAGGATTTAAATGAGCTAGTCCCAAGTACAGTCTCAGAAAAGCACGGTCACATTTTTCAGAGTAAATAACCTTACAACACGAGGAACAGTGAGAGAAAGGAGAACACATAGAAAAAAAGATTTAAGATGGAGGCCAATATACCAGCCTAAAAAGTAAACTTGTGCTGAAACAGATGTGTTATCTGTATGTTGGACCTGTTTCCAAAAATGCCATTTCACTGGCTGTCATGCTGATCCACTGGCTACAATGCTTTCTAAATCTGATCAGAACAAGCATATGGTACGTGAAGTCAACCTTAATCTGCACATCTGTTCTGGGCGATTCAGTAAATATTATAGCCAGAAAAATCAGCACGAAAGCAAGACAGCTAGCATTTTCAGAGGTGATCAATCACGGCCTATAACTACATCAACTGGAAAATTATGTTTCCTACCTGAGTATCCCCCAGAGGACTTGATATACATCTGCCCATAATGATCCTCCACCATAGTGTCATAAGCCTCATCCTCCTCCTCGTCTTCCTCATTGTGGTAGGATGTTGGGCTGTCCGTGGTCGGTATGCTGCTTGCACTAGGACTTGTGCGTTCCCCTTGTGAATACGACACTTGCTGTACACTGGGGAAGAGCGTAGCTAGGGTAGACATACCATAGTAAGAAACCCGCTGTAGCTTTGGCGGAGCCACTGCAGACAAGGTTCCTCCTGTGCTGTCCCTGTTTTGAATCTCGGTCGGCCTCTTGCCAGTCATGTTGGGTACCGCAATAGGCTGCACCTCCAAGCTCTCATTTTTCACTCGGGTGAGAAGCGGGATGGGCATGGAAGGAGACATTACATAGGAAGCGGAGGTGGCGGCAGCTGTTGTCTGGTTGCAGGGGCTCTGGGGTTCCGAACTGGTATCTTCAATCATGGTGGTCTGAGAGTCACAATGAGGTGAGCTCACCTTGAACATCAAGTCTGTCCCTCGCTCTACGATGTGCTGAATCTGAAGGAAGCCAGCCGTGTACATCACCACCAGCTGCTCGCTTGCCGCCATAGTTAACTTCCCGGTGTAGCAAAATGACAGAATTTGCTGGAAGCACGCTGGCGGCACCGTTGCTGGCAACTCGAAGGCGCTCTTGCTGTTGCCACTGAACAGATCTCTGAAGTATAAGCTGCTGGCCGCTAGGACAGCACGGTGCGCCTTGAAGGCCTGGCCTTTCACCACAATGGAAACATCGCAGTAGAGTCCCATAAGCCTCTGCTCATTCAGGCATCCCAAGACTGTGTTCCCAAAATTGGGGATTTCTATGTGTAACATCTGTGACATGGCTGGGCAGTGACAGAGCAGGCTTTGGACATTCAACAAGGTCAACGCAGAGACTTTTCACATCTGGAAAAAAAAACAAAAAACAAGTTTGGATCAACAAATAAATTAAAGCTAAAAGGCCAGTGACTATGAATTATAATATACAAGAGTTGTCACAAGTCTAAAAAAGAGGAATTTTAGAGTTTTCTAGTAGAGGAGATTGGAAGCTAAATTTCTGATCCTTTGAGTTAAGGTCCATTCACACGGACAGCTACCGCACACTAAACTGCAGCAATTTAATGTATGGCAGCTGTCTGTTCAGGATGTAGTGCGCAAGCGGTACAGGAAGTGAGATGCAAGTTTCAGTGCATCACACAACTCCTTTTTTTTCACTCAACTTTATTTGAAGTGTACAAAGTGATGATGCTTCATTCATGTCACTGTACAGCAGAGCTGTGCGCTGGGCTGCTGTACAGTGACATGCAATCCCATTCTGTGCACTGTGGTAAAATGCAACATGTCTATTTTATCGCAGCTCACTGCAGTGCAGCTCCGGTCTATGTTGCAGTGTGAATGGGACACATAGAAAACAAGTACTTTCTGTGTGTCCTAGTGGTGACTGCTGTTGTTCAAACGTGAAAAATTGCTTGTTACTGCAATATATGTGAACTGGCCCTAGAGATTTTTTTGGTGCTTAGCAGAATTCCGTTCAGTAATTCTATTGCGGGACATGATGAAAGCTGCTCCCCTTTGTGTGCTCAGCTATCCAGCAAATGCAGTAGCCAACATTTTTATCGATACAACATTTTTATGTACATGTTTGTGAATGATGGTTGTAGCAGTTTAATAATTTGTGTGCTCTGTAATCTTTCTGGGTTATAGTGTATTATTTATGTGAAAGTATTTAGTTGGTATTTGCACATTTCAACTTGATGCGGCACATTTTCATGATCATAATTCATGTAGGGATTAAGTGTGCCCTCTAGTGGCTATAGGCAAGATAGATGACAAAGTCAGTATCCTTACTGCCAAGTACAAAAACGTACGGAAAGGTAAGTCGCTTGGAAAGTGCATGGTGTTCAATGAGATACAAAGTGAAGCTAATAAGTTACATACAAAAAAAAAATTACATTTTTCAAACTAAAACCAGTCATGATTTTCTATATCTCCCATGCAATGACATTTCTTTTACATCCATGGCAACCACACTCTGTTCCACAACAGAATTTCTCAGGATGCTCAACCCCCTGCTTCTGTAACTAGATCATAGCCTACTTCAGAACTTCTGAGTGTTTTAAAGGACAAATTACTGACATCCTTAGTGCATGGAACATACAGTAACATCCCTGTTAATGTTATTAGGGAACATATTTGATTTAAGTTCACAGGTAAAGTGAGATGCAATGTTTCCTTAAAGGACAAGTCCACCTTTTGGTACAAAATAATACATGCACATTTTTTAAAAGGTAAAAAAATGTGCATTTATTATTTTTTGCTGCAGGAGCCTGTAAAGTTTTGCACCAGTAATCAGTAGATCGCTGGTGCCATGCAGTCACCTGTCAGTATATCTGCTTGCCCATATGGGATGTACGAGCAAGCAGATATACTGACAGGAAGATTCAATAAACTACCACGGTTCATTGAGAACTACAAGCCAACAGTCGCTAAGGCTGTCAGGACTTGTAGTTTCTCATTCACAGAGAAGTGATGCGGCCAGGTTTTTTTTTTTTGCCAGCTAGCAGGGGAGAGAAGATCCCCCACTAGCGGTCATTGGCGGCTGGTGCTTTCATAACATGTTAAACTCTGAATATGGGTGTAACATGTAACATGTTATGAAAGATGAACTTGTCCTTTAAAGATGAGCTTCAGTCTAAAAGTACTGTAGCTGCTGATTTTTAATAAAAGAATACTTACCTGTCTAGGGATCCAGCACAGCCGTCACCCAAGTTGGTTCTTCATCGGTCTTTGGGTCTCCAGTTTATGTTTACTAAGGGAAGCCAGCTGTGAAAACTTGTGGCTTCAAAAATAGCTTCCCGCTGTGCTTTGTGAATGAGCCCCACAGTCTTCAGGGACCTGTCCGTGTCCCAGAAGGCTGCAAACAAAAGGGGGTGCACTTCAGACTGTAAAAACCAGATACCTGCTCCCCCCCAAAAGAATAAATAAAAGTCTCCATAAGTGTGTGAGGAGGGAGGAGGTGGGAAAACAGAAATTCCCATACATATATAATGCAGTACGTCAATAGCATTAACCAAGCAGTCTTCGTTGAGTCCCCCCATAACCTATCCTTTTACCTGTTGTTTTTGCTGTTATTTTTCCAACTTCCCTTAACAGACCAAGCTGTCCAGAAAAAGTGGCTTAGTATCTACATATAAGACATCTTGGATGAAACATATGTGGTTTTTATTCTCTGCCATGGCCTAACGGTTATCAGTGTCCCCACTGGAGCGTTTTTCCCATACTTCCTGTCTAAATCATTCCTCATCACACTCTGAGAGCTATGTGTGGTCTTTACATAATTTCAGTCACAGAAAAATGGGTTGTGGTGGCAGAAGGTGATGTGGATGTCTATGTACACTACATTGCCAAAAGTATTGGGACACCCCTCCAAATCATTGGATTCAGGTGTTCCAATCACTTCCATGGCCACAGGTATAAAAAATAAAGCCCCTAGGCATGCAGACTGCTTCTACAAACATTTGTGAAAGAATGGGTCGCTCTCAGGAGCTCAATGAATTCAAGCGTGGTACCGTGATAGCTTGCCACCTGTGCAATAAGTCCATCCATGAAATTTTCTTGCTACAAAATATTCCGCGGTCAACTCTTAGTGGTATTATAAGAAAGTGGAAGCAACTGGAAACAACAGCAACTCAGCTACAAAGTGGTAGGCCACGTGAAATGAAAGAACGGGGTCAGGACATGCTAAAGCACACAGTGCGTAGAAGTAGCCAACTGTCTACAGAGTCAATAGCTAAAGACCTCCAGATTTTGTGTGGCCTTCAGATTAGCACAACAGTGCTATAGAGAGCTTAATGGAATGGGTTTCCATGGCCGAGCAGCTGCATCCAAGCCTTGCATGTGCCTTACATATACCAAGTGCTATGCAAAGCGTCGGATGCAGTGGTGTAAAGCATGTCACCACTGGACTCTAGAGCAGTGGAAACGTGTTCTCTGGAGGGACAAATCACACTTCTCTGTCTGGCAATCTGATGGACGTGTCTAGGTTTGGCGGTTGCCAGGAGAATAGTACTTGCCTGACTGCATTGTGCCAAGTGTAAAGTTTGGTGGAGAGGGGATTATGGTGTGTGGTTGTTTTTCAGGTTATGGGCTTGGCCCCTTAGTTCCAGCAAAGGGAACTCTTAACGCATCAGTATACCAAGACATTTTGGACAATTTCACGCTCTCAACTTTGTGGGAACAGTTTAGGGATGGCCCCTTCCTGTTTCAACATGTCTGCCCACCAGTGCGCAAAGCAAGGTCCATAAAGACATGGATGAGCAAGTTTGATATGGAGGAACATGACTGGCTTGCACAGTGCTGACCTCAACCTGATAGAATACCATTGGGATGAATTAGAGTGGAGACTGCAAGGCAGACCACCTCATCCGACATCAGTGGCTGACCTCACAAATGTGCTTCTGGAAGAATGGTCAAACATTCCCATAGACACACTCCTAAACCTTGTGGACAGTCTTCCCAGAAGAGTTGAAGCTGTTATAGCTGCAAAGGGTGGGCCAACCCAATATTGAACCCTACAGACTAAGACTGGGATGCCATTAAAGTTCATGTGTGTGTAAAGGCAGGCGTCCCAATACTTTTGGCAATATGGTGTATGTGTAGCGAAACTCTGGTGAGGGCTTAGACTTCAAACAACCCTCTGTTCTCCGGAATCATGGGTTGTATATGACTGAGCAGAATCTTCAGTATAAAAACTAAACAGAGTTTATCTCTTCCCTGGAGATTCTTTGTGAGGCAGAGCCCCTCGACAGGAGATAAACTTTAGACAACGTTCTGCTAGTTTTCAGCAGCAAGCTCACTGGTAGCAGATGGAGAATGATTGTGTCTGCTGGCACGAAGAAGAGCGGAGAACCCCAGTTCACGCAAAAAGGCTGTAAATCGTTCTGTCTGGTTATTATGCCTCAAACATGCAATATGTTGTGGATTTTCAACTTATGTTAGCACTCAACGACTCAGCGCTGACTCACCGCAGTTCACCAGTGAAGAATGCAAGCATACTGTAGAGAAAATGTGAACTTAGTCTTCCTCAACCTGACTATTTCCAAATGAAGGACAAGGGGCGAGAGCTCCTCATACAGCAAGGACCATAGTGAGGGGACAGAGCTAGACACCCATTGGCTTTGGCTGGGACTTTTGAACTCATTAAAGGAGTATTTAAGGGTAAATCTTTCCATTTTTTTTTGTTTGTTTTGGATAAAACGTAATGGTTAGAACTTTTATCATTTTTGTTTTTTTTGTCTCTGTCTCCTGTTTGGAAGACTTTTCTTTACATACTTGAATGTAACTTCAAGTGGTATCAAAGCCTAAGGCCTCTTTCACATGTAGGGTCCGATTAGGTCTGCCTGTATTAATTTTCCAGGCGGACCTGAGCGGATGGCCCATTCTCATCTCTATGGACCAGGGGGTGTAAACTGATGTGTTCATTTACACCTGCCTACCTCCGATCAGATTCGCTCCACTAAAGAAAAATGGAAGGGGATCCATCCTCCTCTATATAGGCGAATCATATCGGAGGGCAGTCGGGTGTAAACAGACAGCTGCTTCATTTACACCCAGCCGCCCATAGAGTAGAGCAGGCTCTGTATGTGTCAGCTCTGCAGAAACTGAGCGGACATAGACCTGTCATCTGCCCGCTCAGCAGCGGATTAGCAGGGCAGATTCTGCCCTGTGCAGAATGCAAAAAAGATCTGTATACTTACCATTCTTTAAATCAGAGCTCTGGGCTCCCCCTAAAGAAATAACAGTCAGCAGCTACAAATACTGTAGCTGCTGACTTTTAATGTAAG